AGCGGCCCCCTCGGTCCACGGCGGCAGCAGCGATGCCGTCCCCAGCTTCGTGGGAGGACGGAGCGGGGACACGAACGCCCCAGGGGCTTTGCTCCAGGGTCAGTTTCTACAACTCAATTTCGGGAACCGAGCCGCCGTAACCACCGTGCCACCGCGTGGTCCGGGCTGCGAGCGCCGGAGACCTGGCGTCCGGCAGCACCTTGCCGCCTGGGATCGTCTGCATCAGACCTCACATTAAAGCAGACGCCAAGTCCGCTGGGCCCTCGCTCTGCTTATGCCCGGCTTGTTCTCTCGTTTCAGCTTTGGGTCCCACCAGCACTGGAGTGAAACCACTCCACCCTTGTCCGTGGCGATCCGCATGGCAAAGGCGGCTTGGAGAAGACACAAAGCCCCCCCAAGAGTTTAAAGATCCCTCATTTAACCTAAAAATAACAGCAGCACACTTTGTTCCCTTTCATTCAAGCAGCAGCAAAGTCCACGGGAAGGCTAATTTTAGTTTCTCCAGGTTAGGTTTCATTAATACAGCAGCAGTTCGCTAACCGGGGCGTTTACAAGTTAACTCCTGCAGAGGACCAGCGTATCCCTAGGAGCTGGCCCCGTCCAGGGTGGAAACGCACCACGCATCGCTGCTACCGAATTTTCCTGGCCAGTTCTCCCCGGGTAATTAACTGCTACAAGTCAACACAATTCCCTCGTTAGCAACAGTTACACCAAAGCAGCAGCAGCGACCAAAGCCTCAAGCTCTCGGCCAGGCAGCTTTGTGCACCAAGACGTTTCACTGCTTGAAAAAGCGCAATGTGTTTTCTCCCTCCGAGACTTTGCGTGCAATGATTACAAGATAACGTCAGTAGAAGAGAAGACACCGCCAACCTACCGTTCTGGAAGAGTCACAAGAAGACTCTCTAGAGCTAATTTTCAAGCAGAAAGTACCTAATGGTGTCATTTCAACCATTTGCAACCCCCAGAAAAGCTATTGTTTTCTCAGACTCAGAAATAAATACCAAGGCAGGAAAACACCAATTCTGAGTTTTGCACAGAGCTTTCTCCAGGCTGCTCACTCAGCTACAAAGAGTTGGGCTGGTTCTTTGCTCTCACCCAAACTGTTTGCAGAGCCTAAAACGTTAAACCAAAGCAAGTGACTACTTCTACAGGGCAAAGTGTGGGACATAAGTCTGCACTTCCCCACAGAGCAGCGACCGTGGGCTCACACATCCCCGCATTCATGCAAGAGATGGGTGTACATGGTATATCACGGGGTCTCTTTCTCTTTTTGGGGCATCGCTGTCTGCCTAAAAGGATGCAGGGGTCTTTTATTCATTAAGGACCTCCTTGACCCTGAGGGACAACTGGGAATTCAAGGATGTGTTTTGCAAACACCTCTAAGTTCTGATTTTCTGGAAGGCACAGAGCTGTGCTTCAGCAGCACCCCATGATGTCAGGTGCTTTTGCTCTCTACTCATCATGTAAGGCAACAAGCACCACTTAAATTTTCCAAGCCCGGCCCAACCTTTCAAGTCCATCAATCATACGACATGATGTCTTGTTTGCAGAGTTTCCTAGCAGAAGACTATTATTTTGGCTTGAACGCTATGCGAACACCAGTCTTCTCCTGAAGCCTTAGGACATGGAAAGCGTGTGTACGTAGGAGGAAGCGTGTCAAACAGATTTAATTTTTAAGAGCTGCTTGTCTATAAATTATCATTGAATAAAATAAATATTTGGACAACATTAGTCTGTTTGGACTGGGTTAAAATCTATTTTACTTCCCTCTACTATTTGCTTAAGTCTCTGCTGTGCATGTGGCCAGACTCACGTTGCAAGAACAAGGATCCAAAATAAAGGCTAAAAGGATAGCCTGGAGCAAAGTGTAAGCAAATTCCACGCTCACAGAAATTAATATAGCGTAGCATGTCAGTGTTACGGGGAATCCCATTCAGTTCTCACTGCCTGCTTGGATACAGGAAGGAGCAGGAAAAAGCATGTTGCAAGAGAACGGCTACTTTGCACAGGTAGGACATGAGCAAGTTCAGTCCATCTAACCGGGCGTTAATTTGAAATAGCCCCGGCTGCTCTCGCTACACAGATGCCCAACAACAGCCAGCAGCAGTAATTTGGCTCTGGCACAGGCCAACTCTACAGATCGCTAACCAACACAGTCTCAATCATTAAATCAGCTCCTCTTAACCATTACCCAGCAACATCCCCTGCCCTTTGCGCCCTCTTTGAGCCTGGCCAAATCTTTATAAAGCTCTACGGTTTTACGCTCGCGTGCCTTCCTTCTGCACTGTGGGTTAATTGAGAAGGAAAAGGCTGTTATGGCACAAAGCTGAACTGGTTCCCCTGGGCTGGGCCGTCCGCGTACTCCCCCTCTTTCATCATGCCAATGTCCACGCAGCGCTTCAGCCGGCAGGCCTGGCAGTGCCGCCGGTTGTCTTTGGTGATTTTGCAGTCACCGTTGAACGGACACGTGAACATCGCCTTCCTCTTCATGCTTCTCCTGGCAGGGAATGGAAAAGCGTCTTGGGTTAGTCACCACCATTTTGACCGTCTAAGAAACTGCTCTAAGTATTGGTAGGAGATGCAAATACAAATTTAACTTTCCGGACAGCAAACTGCTAGAGACAGATTGCCAAGAGCGTGCCAGGAACATCCTCTGACCTGATGCAGTTCAGGACAGCCAGTTGTTCAAAAAGAGTGAGTTTGAAAAGCTGCACCAGGCTGCATCTACCAATGGGTTTGTTCTTAAGAGGTCTGGGCATTTCTGAACAGCACAGAAAAGTAGGGCTTATTAAAAGGACACGGCCTCCAAGTTCAGCAATGGTTTTCTGGTTTGCAATGGGTATTTTGAAGGCCACAAGAAGGGGATTAGAAGGGTTTTAGAGGAACCCATACCTGAGCCTCCAGCTGCAAAAGAAACCAGAGTGCAGGCCGGCATGTACCAAAGCAGTACATGTTATTAAACATTTACTAGCCTTTAAAGCCCTGCTTTGCTAGAATAACTGGCTGGAGCGCATGTTTCTGTGTACATGAGAAAAATCTCACTGCAGGACACAAGTGAAACAACACTTAACACAATAACCTCTCTTCCACCGAAACCGCACCGCGCCGCGTTAATCCACTGCTACAATCAGGACTATAAATCTTCCAAGTACAAAGGGTCAAAGCCACAGTTTCCAGCTAAAACTTGCCTCTCTATGCTGCTGTTCTCCGAGATCCACTGATGACATGATGCAGGCATAGCTGCACTTTTATATTAAGGGCAGTTTCTCCTCTGTGCTTGGAGATGCTACATCTTTGCTTTGGAGGAGAAACGTTACTCAAGGATCTCCCACCAGCAAGCCAAGCTTGGGTCACCTCTGAATTTGCGGATATTTCTAAATCTGCGGCACGCTGGATTTCAGCATCTAGATACAGAGTTGCCTGCTAGAAGGAATCATTCTTCCAGCACTAAAGCCTCCTCGCGACGCCGTTATCGCTTTCATTGACAGCACGTGACTCCGGAGGCTGAAAACGTGGATGCACTGAACAGACAATTGCAGGCCAAGACCACAATGGCAGATGGGCCTCTAGCCCAGGAACACCGCCAAGTTTGTGCTTATAGGGTTTAAATATAAAATACGTTCTTGGGCTGCAGACCCGAGTGGCACGTAGCATGCAATTAGAGGCTATTTTAGAAAAGGAGATGTAAACAAAGAGGTTTTTTACTTTCCCCTAACAGATGAATAAACGCATATAGGAAAATTAATATAGAAGCTGATTGTAGTCTAGCTAGATGGCAGAGCCCTCCGTAATCCACCTGATGCTAGAGATCAGCGGCAGTCAGTTAGAAACTTGAGTTTCATTCAACAGCTGCTTCTTAGTTTAGTGCTTTTCTCCAAGTTCCCCCCTTCCACCAAAAACAGCAGGGCCTTCGCCCTTGCAGGTATAGGGGCAAACAAGGATTTGGAAATGAACACCCTGAAATGGCCCAGTTTCGGTGAACGACTCCTGCATTGCGAGTATCTGGGGGCAGGCGGACAGCTTGTCTTTTCCCCTGCAGCCTGGGGCAAAGCTAGGGAACGCACAAACAAGCGAGAGAAACGTGAGGCCCTCGGGCAGGGAAAGATGTCCTGCGCGCGAGGGCAAGCCAACAGTACGGTTTTGGTATGAAAATTGCAGTTTATTTGAATACAGGGTAGCTGGGCACAATAGAAGGTTTCTAAGCAGCCTCTTCTCTGCCCCAAGGGTCCTCGGCTCTCGGCGACAACGGGCCCCAGCGTTACGCCAGCAGCATCGAGCCACAGGCACACAGCGGGAGTACGCGCTGTCCGGCTCTGTCAGCTTCGGTGTATTTTTGTAAAGCTCCAGAATAGCTGTTTCAAGGCTCATTTAGATCAGTGTCCCAGGCACGCTGCCGAACATTAAAAATAACTAGATCCCTCCCTGCACAAACCCAGCCCGCGGGTAAGAGCGAACACGCCTGCGTCCAGCCGAAAGGAAAGCTCAGGTTTGCAGAGCTAGGAGCAACGTGCTCTGAGGTCAGGACTAGCTGCGATATGTTTTGGAAGGGGGAAAATAAGGATAGCATTGCTCTGCAAGCTCGCTGCACGCGAACAAGAGGGCTCAACCATTGCAAGGCACGAGCTCCTGCTGGTGCTTGCAGGATGCCCATCTCACGTGGGCAGAAACAGTCCTTTTGGTTTTGCTTTGTGCAACAGATCCTGGCCCCAGCGAGGGTACTACGGCCACAGAAAAGACCGCAATTTGCCTAGCTCCAGGTCCGCAAGCCAGGATAGCTTATCACTAAGCTCAGCATCTATTCTACAACAGAGTTTAGCTCCATACTTGTTCTTTGGTAGAAATGCACCTTGTGCTCCTACCTAGTGCACAGACGGTAGGGTTAGCTTCCCTCCCCCCACCGTCCATGGCTTTTAGATTACTGAAAATTTGGAATTATGTAAAAGACAGATGGTAAATACCGGCCCTGACCACACTCCTCAGCAGAGGAATGAAAGAGCCAGGACCAGATTTGCATCATGTGGCAGATATTACTGGTGTGCTCTGTCCTCCTCTTTTACTAGACAGGGTTGATCTTCAAAGCATGTCTCCCTCTGAATTTTTATTAGCAGAAAGGGCTCTCGATACACACACAACTTTCACATTTAGAGAGCCTGCAAAATACCCCGTTTCCTGAGAACTACTCTACTCATAACCAAACCCCAGTGTCCTGCCTAGCCCCTCCTGTTTGTCACCCCCCACAAGCTGGGGGCCACACAGCTGACACACAAGGAGTCATTGTGCTTCACGGAGAGCAGCAGATACCTAAAACTACTTAGGGTGGGACAATTCTTCTTCCCACTGCCGACAGCCCCCCCACCCAGAGAAGTCCCCTGACACACCAACTGCCAAGGCAGGGCCAGGAGCAGAGCTGCGGCTCTCCGGCACCGCTGTCGTTCCAGTCTGCATCCTCTCCCCCCAGTCCTGCCAGCTCCTGCTCCCAAGAGCCAGTCAGACAACTACACCTTGCCCTGAAATTTTTTTTTTTTTAAGAGACCCATGACACATTCTTGCTGGGAAATATTAGCAGCAGCCTTCTGAAACAAGTCAGGGAAGGAGAGGAGAAAGGATCCAGAGGCTGCGCATGCCCAGCATTTGGTTTCTGCTGCCTCATTCCCATCCACAGCAGCCCCACTACAGAGCTGCCCAGACACCTCCAAGGCTGCACATCTCCTGCTGTGCACAGACCCCCCTGCCTCCACCCCAAGGTCTACGATCACTTCTGGCCTCTGCATACTAGAGGGCTGTCTGTTTTCCGGCAATTCACACAGCAGCACGAGTGTAGGAGGCTACTGTAACGGGGCAGAGGGTCTGAAGTTGAACTCTGGCTCTAGGGCAGCGTGAAGGAGGGATGGATTTCTGTCAATAGCCAAGAACCAAAGCAGTTTCATGGAGAACGTGGCAAAGAATTAAGGAGGATTACAGAAGTGGAAGATGCAGTGATGTAGACAGGATGGGTGGGGAGTTACTAGGTTTTGAAATACTCGGAGCCTTTCCAAGTAGTGCTGTTGTTACTGCCCAGCACCATTGAGCAGGTGGGGAAGGGAGAGACACCTAGAAGCACAGAAGAAACCAGAGAAATCTCTGGATGCTTCAGCCAAGTCACAGTAGAATAAGTCACTCAGGTTTAGCTCCATTTTAAGAGCTCCTGAGCAAACAGCAAAGCTTAATAAAGGGCTACCGCAGCCATGACTTTGAAGCATGGCTTCAAAGCCATGTGGACTTTGAAGCAAGTGGCCAAAGGTTGTCTCAGGTCTGTTCACGCTGCAGGTTATGCGCACTTCTGACCACCCAGAGGTGCCACTAGCCTCCTAACACCTCTACAGCATCATTAAAGTAAAGGAGCCAGAAGGCCACAGGTTACGTTAGACTGATTTGTGTTAGATTTCCCAGCATTAAACAGGTACATCCAAGGTGGATCCGCAGCTTTTTGGGGACAGTTTCGGAGTCCAGCTGCCCCCACAGCAGCACTGCAGTGTTTTCTCATAGAAGGCACTTGGATACTGTGGCAGCAACAAGTGTTAAACCTGGAATTAATTCTGTGGTTTAAAAAGGCTTGTAAACAAGTCTGTGTTCCCTCAAGTTTAAACACCAAGACCTAGCATTAGGAGAGCATGTCTGGAAAGGAAGATGAAAAAAGTAATAAAAACCTTAAATTGAAAATAAAGGCCTTATATGGAGCATGAAGGGCTAGTTTAGGATTACAGCTTTCCATAGCATTAAAATGCCTGTTTAGAAATACCGTCAAAGTTGCATGTTTTACACGGTTACAGTTTGCCAAGCCAGGGGTGTAGGGCTTCGCCAACGCACCCAGGAAAGGTTCATCAAGCAGCCCTGGCCATTTCAGAGGACAAAAGTGAGGCCGTTCCCCTTGCTGCTGTAGGAACAATGGGGACAGGGAAGGACACCAAACCACAGCATGGAAGAGAGCACCTGAAGAGTTACTCATTTAGCAGCAGTAATTGAGGAAAATGTTGTTGTTCAGGTTGGCCAGGCTTTGAAGCTGCCCGATTCAGGAACGGGCTGCAAGACTCTGGTATGTGAAAACCCTTGTCTAGCCCTGAAATCCCTGTGAGTGAAGTTATGACTTTGCTCTGAGATTTAGCTTTAGTTGCTTTAATTGTCCAGCTCACCATGTAAAGCTGTGCACACTGGTGCTTGCAGTCCCACAGCCACCTGCTGCCATCATCTCATTACAGTGCAAAATACTTGAGCAAGGCTTTTCCCAGCCAGTCCCACGCCAGTCATTATCTTACTTTGTTTCACCAGCGCTTAGTCATTCTCTCACTTGGTGCAAGCAATGTGAACTCCCACGTGAACGGTTCTGCACCGTCGGTGCAGGAGCGCTGCCTCGAATGCAGACACCCAGATGAGACTGAGCCATTAAATATCCACAAACCTGCAACTCTCCAAACTCAGAGGCCTCTGCAGCTTCTAGGCACGTTTCTGCCCTGCTTAGGACCAGCTTGAGACCACTCAAGACCCCACCTGCCAGCAGAAAAGGCTACATATACAACCTCTATCTGCTTTTAACCCCCAAGAGCCAGAGTAGCACAAGTGAAAAACTGCCTCCAAGCTAGGAAAGAGTTTGGTACCAAATCTAGCATGTGGGCAGAGTACCCTGTACATCTCCCAGTATAGGGGTGTGTAGAGCTTCAAAGCAGACTTTAGAGGCAGGTTGCTTTAAAGGAAAAGTTTTGTGGCTGTTTGTGCAGGTTTAGTTTCCAAAGACTGCTAGTTTCAGGTGCGTTTTTAACCAGGCCCAGGTGCCACACATACCACAGCATGCTAGAGGCTGTTACACTGCTGTCTACACCGCACATCAGTATGCAGAGGTCTGCAGAACTCCTGAACAGATGGAAACCTCCGGCTAATGGGAAATAACTTGTTTCCCAGTAGCAGGGTGTCACAGCAAGCCACCAGAAGGGAGATATTTAGCCGTCTCGCCATTATCAAGACATGCAGTTTGCAATACAGGCACAAGTCTGGCAGATCTGTTCACAGCCCAGCTTTGTAGGGAAGCTGATAGCTTGAATGGCAGTCAAGCAGCACCCCGACGATCAGATTGCCTGCTCCTCAAAGCTTACTGACTAGCGAGTAAAACCCCCTGCCAGAGACCCACACTCACCTGAAGAAGCCCTTGCAGCCTTCGCAGGTCATCGCGTTGAAGTGAAAACCAGTGGCTCTGTCCCCGCAGACACCACAGATACGGGGCACGTTCCTGTCAAACTCACCGGCTGGGTCGGGAAGCGATGTGCTAGCCGCTACAGTCTCCATATCTGTGAGAGCAGAGCGGGAGAAGAGAAAGCTGGGCACCTATTTATATCTGTCACAGCTTTACAAAAAGCAAATTAGATGCAAAAAGGTTTTTTTTCCCCCCTCTTGGATTCAGTGTGACCAGGCAAGACAAGCTTCTACATTCCTCTGGCTCTGCACACTAACACCGTAAAGCAGGGTCTAGCTACTTTATACTGAGCACGCACATTTTGCTCAACTACCAAGCGAACGCATTGCTGATCCCCCTCTTCCCATACGCACAGCCATATGAATGCACCTTGGAACGCTCTCACATTATTTTGCTCTGCTTCACTGAAAAGAGTCCTGTAGCCAACTCAGAACCTCTATCTCCTTCCCCCCCACGCTCCTTTGTGGTCATTTCTAAAAAGCCTTGAAGGCACCAGAATTCACCCA